TAACAGAATAGACCAAGAAAAAAGAAGAAAAATACACAAAATTTAACACAGTGAAGTCATTTTGTGGAAAAAGAAACACATCAATATGCCTTCTTAATGCAGAGCTTCCCAACTGCTGAGCTGGGCTCCAGATGTGACATGATCTGTATTAGTCTACTCCAGCTGCTGTAACAAAACACCAGACACTGGGTGGCTAAAACAGAAATTTATTTTCTCAGTTGTGGAGGCTAGAAGTCCATCATTAAAGTATCAGCAAATTCAGTTTCTGGGGACAGCTCACTTCCTGGCTTGAAGATGGCCACCTTTTTTTTTTGCAACGTGCTCACGTGGCCTTTCTTGAGTGCATGTGCGTATGCTGGGGGAGAGGGAATATGACTTCTCTGGTGTCTCTTCTAAGGACACTAATCCCATCATGGCCTACCCTTATGGGCCTCCTTTAACCTTAATTACTTCCTTTGAGGGCCTATCTCCAAATACATCACACTGATGGTTAAGGCTTCAACATATGAATTTGGTGGGGACACAAACGTTCAGTCCATAACAGGACCCTTAGCTCATGGGAAGCTGGACAGAGCTTCTGGTGGCCATATGTCAGAGTCACCAGGGCCAGTAACAGCATCATGGTATACTCCATTGTGGTTTAGAAAGACTATGATTTTTGAGGTCTGCCTTCCCAAGAGGGGCTGGGAAGCACTGCCTTATCAAATTGAATACATCACTGCACTGCCAGCTGTTATAATAATAAATCACAATAACTCCCCCAAAAATCAAGAAAATTGGCTGGGTATAGTGGCACATGCCTATAGTCCCACCTACTTAGGAGGCTGAGGCAGGAGGATAGCTTCAGTGTAGACTTTGAGGCTGTACTGCATTATAATCACGCCTGTGAACAGCCACTGCACACCAGCCTTGGCAACATAGCAAGATGCTGCCCCCAAAAACAAACAAACAAACAAAAAACAGAAGAAAATCCTGATAATAGTTAATGCTTAAATAGCATTCACTATGTGTCATGCCTGCTCTTTGTGCTTTTTACACATGTTCACTCATTTAATTCTCACAAAAACCCTCTGCTACGTGACATAATACTGTGGTCAGGTGCATAGTCTTTTGGCATCAAAATGCCTGAGTTCAAATCTCAGCTTCTGCATTTCTAGCTGTGTAAACTATGTCATGTTACTAAGTCTCGGAACCCAGGTGTGGTGGCACATGTGTGTAATCCCAGCCACCTACTCAGGAAGCTGATGTGGGTGGATCTCCTGAGGCCAGGAGTTTAGGACCAGCCTGGGCAACAGAGCAAGACACTGTCTCAAGAGAAAAAAGTTACTAAGTCTTTTTGAATTTCAGTTTTCCTCGTCTGTAAGATGAAGATAAATATACAAAAATATAATTCCAAAAAGTTCTGGGCACAAACCCACAATTTTCACATATATTGGCAGTATAATCATTTGGTAACAAGACCTAAACTACTTATATATCTCTTAGTAAAATATTCTTATGTTCTATTGTAGAATATCTTATGGTTGATTACCAGGTACTCCTTCAAATCCTGCTAGGGGGTTATAAATATCTGCTCTCCATACCATAACAAAAAATGTGGTCCTAAGGATTTCTGAAAAGAGTTTAAACTCACAGTTGTGGGAATTTAATAAATTAATTTAGCTAACACAGTTAAAATTTATAACTGGCACATCCAATGAATGATATACAAGTGATAATTATTATTATTATTATTACTGCTGTTATTACTGCCATTGTGTAGATGAAGAAATGAGGCAAAGACAGATCCAATAGTCTCCCCAAGCCACAGCTGGCATGCAGTATGATGAATGTGAACCTAGACAGTCTAGCTCCAAAGCCTGTGCCCTTAACCACTGCACTGCCCCATCTCCATAAGTTGCATACATTTTATTGTTGTGCAATATAATCTAAGAAGGCAATGCTTCCTTAAAATATTTTTAGAATTTTTCCTATATAAATTGGAAACACTAGGTACTTAATGGAGTATGCGCTCAGATACAAGGAGAATTCTGCTCCCTGGGATGATTCCTTTTCTGGAGGAGGTAAGCTACAGCCACGTTTATGCTACCTGCTCTGCACCTCCCTGGCCCTGCCGATTGTACCAGGAGTCTACACATCATCCTGAGGAACCAATCCAAAGGCTGAATCAAATTCTGAGATTCTACATCATTGGAGTGGGTAACTGAGTCAAGCTGGAGCTGGGAGGTGAAGCACTGCAAGGCTCAGGAGCCACTTTCTACCTGTATACAGAGCAGCTGAGAATCAGAGGAACAAGGAAGCAGTTTCCTATGGATCAGTGGTTGTCAACCATGGTCAGTTTGGCTCCCCAGAGGACATTGGGCAATGTCTAGAGGCACATTTTGTTGTCATAATCAAGGCGTGCTACTGGCATCAAGGGGGCAGAGGCCAGGGATGCTGCTGAACATTCCACAGGACATCCTGAAAAATGAAAGAAATTATCTGGCCCAAAACGTCAACACTGACAAGGCTGAGAAACTCTTATATAGACTTAGAGCAAGAAAGTATGTGGCGTCAACAAGGGGGTGAGATGGAGAAATTAGTTGCATTGGCTCCAGTGGCTCCCTAGGTCCCGGTCCCAGCTGCTTATGACATCTAATGGCTCGTCCTGCTCCAGGTGCCCTGAGGTCCTTAATGGCCAATGTTCTTCATGTCCACATACCATTCCACAGAAGCTCTCCATTTTGTAACAGCAGTTTAATGAGTTTATGCTACCTGAAACCAAAGATACCTGAGATAGGTTTGGGGATGACAGGAAGAGGGATTCAGGCGGAGAGAGGAGTGTATTAAACACACTGAGAGGGCATGTGGAGAAACACCCAGGGAAAGAAGAATGATGCAGGTGAGAGAAGAAATGAGTCAGAGCAAAGAAGCCCCAATAAGCATAGTGTGTTTGTGGGCAGCAAGGAGAGCAGCCTGCCTAGATCAGCAGGTACACTGGGGAAGTTAAAGAAATTAGAGGTAACAGTTTTAAAAAATGCATCAGTACATACAATTATAATACGGACTCGCATATCTGTGACTGTACTAAGCCTAATTCATCCTTATAAAAATTCATGCATATATTAAAAGTACCTTTGGGAATATATACTTCCTGGGTAAGCCATCACTACAGAGTGGAAACTTTGCCCTATCAGTAGAATCCATGATTAGTTATGTTCAACAAGCAGCATTTTCTGAAGATGTGAAATAACCAAAAAGAGGCAGATATCCCTGGCATTTATGACAATCAGCCAAAACAGTTTTTAATCAATAAGCTCCTCGGCTCCCTATTCTATACTCTGGGGAAGATAACTCGTGTCTTGCAGGCTTGGAAGGCAGTGAGCTCACTGCCTGGTACTGAGGATGATCTGGGTTGTATGTAAAAGCCCCACATAGCATACTTATTTTCTTATCTAAAAAAAGAAAGAAAAAGACCACGACTGAACATTGGCCTCCCTGCTCCAGCATTCAGTCAGGACATTTAGGATTTATAAAAGTATCATTAAATTTAGAAATTCAAATATATAAGTAACCTATGTGACTGTGACATGTGATAGAAACTTCTCTACAAAATATAGTAAAAAGTTAGTCAGACACAGTGGTATGTGCCTGCTGTAGTCCCAGCTGCTCAGGAGACTGAGGTCAGAGGATCCCTTCAATCCAGAAATTCAAGATTACAATGAGTTATTATCAAGCCACTGCACTCCAGCCTAGGGGACAGAGTGAAACCCTGTCTCAAAAAAAAAAAAAAAAAAAAAGAAAGAAAGAAAAGGAGAGAAAAAAAGAAATAAGTATAAAGAAGTATAGAAATAGAGACTAGGAAATGAATATCATAAAAACAGGGATCTCCCGGATACCTTATTTCTCTTTTCTCTCCTTTGTTTTCCAATAAGGAGAACTGTGACTCTTTGAGGAAAAAGTTGCTTTTCTGCTTAGGAAATCAAAGGTTCTAGATCAAAAAGCAATAGATACAGAGTTCAGAAAGAGATGTGTGTGGGCTGGTAGCAAATCAAGCCCTGAAAGTCAAAAGACACTCCAGGACAAAATTTGGAACTGTGGGACAAAACATAAAACCGTTCACTTCCAATACTCAGTGCTTCAAAAGGCTCATGGACAATCACGAGCATTCCCTTTTATGGCTGACTGAGAAGAAAGCTGTCAGCTCTGTAGAAGCCATGCAAAGGGTCAGATTCTTCTGAATGAACACAACCATCCTGAGGCAAGGCAACAAGCCTTCTCTAAGGGGAAATCACATTTAGCTCATTAATAGGATGTTTAAAGGAAATGCCCAGAGTGGTGTGGCAAAAAGAGAACTCAAAATTTTAATTTTGTAGATAAACATCATCATAGTGTACCATCTCACACCCTGTCAGAATGTCTATTACTAAAAAGTCAAAAAACAACAGATGTTGGCAAGGATGTGGAGAAAAGGGAACACTTATACATTGTTGGTGGAAATGTAAGTTAATACAACCTCTATGGAAAACAGTATGGAGATTTCTCAAAGAACTAAAAATAGAAATACCATTCAACCCACCTATCATACTACTGGGTGTTTACCCAAAGGAAAAGAAATTGTTGGCCAAGCATAATGGCTCACACCTATAATCCTAACACTTTGGAAGTCTGAGGCTGGTGGATCACCTGAGATCAGGAGTTCGAGACCAGCCTGGCCAACATGGAGAAACCTTGTCTCTACTAAAAATACCAAAAGAAAGAAGAGAAAAGAAAAGAAAAGAAGGAAAGAAGGAAAGCAGGAAAGGAAGGAAGGAAGGAAGAAAGAAAGGAAGAAAGAGAACAAAATTAGCTAGGCCTGGGGCACATGCCTGTAATCCCAGCTGCTCGGGAGGCTGAGGCACGAGAATGGCTTGAACCTGGGAGGCAGAGGTTGCTGAGATCTCACCACAACACTCCAGCCTGGGCAACAGAGCAACTCTGTCTCAAAAAAAAAAGAAAAAGAAAGAGAAATTGGTATTTCTTTGTCAAAAAGACACCTGCACTTGTATGTTTCTTGCAGCACTATTTGCAATAGTAAAGTCACAGAATCAATGCAAGTGCCCATCAACAGATGATTGGATAAAGAAAATGTGATATGTATATATGACATTTATTATACCACATTAATAAATACATATTAAATATATATCTGTATGAATAATAAATACATATTATTTATCTATATAGACACACATATAAAACCATGGAATACTACATAGCCAGAAAAAAGAATGAAATCATGTCTTCTGCAGCAACAAGGATGAGGCACACTAGAAGCCCAAACCTCACCATTACACAATATATCCATATAAGAAACTTGCACATGTGCCCCCCAGGTCTATAGAAATTTATTTAAAAGATTCATCAAAAAAAAATCTCTTAATCTTAAGGAGGGTTTTTTGATGACTCTTTTACAAAATGAATAGCAGCTACTATTTTTTCAGCACTGATTTGTGGGTCAGTGCTAAGGAAGTCATGTACATTATGGTCATTTGGAAGAGGATGTAGGTGCCAGCTCTTTGTTGGTGGAACTCAACAGCATGGCACCACACCTTGCCCAGCAGAATTTCATTTTCCTTTCTGAATTGATTCCATGCCTATAGGAGTGCTAATAAGGACTTAGGAACCAAACTCCCTCACCCTCAAATTGGTAGGCTACGGAAGAGATTCAGTGAACCTCAAATAAGTTAACTTTAACATATTGGGTCACTCCAATGTCTATGCCTAGGATAAAAGCAGCAGCAGCAATGACTAACTTACAATAGGGACAGTTTATCACCAAACAATACCTTAGAAATCTGTAGATCGCTCCTTTCTGGGCAGTTTGGG